CTGAACAAATTACTGAGTATATTGGTAAATACATGAGGAATCTCATTTGTTTTGAAATATGTCTTGTGACTTGTAGAAAATATGATCGAGAAAATTTGCCCGTTTTTAGTGCTATAAATCTTCCTGTGGGGTTGGAAGAACCAAGTGGTCTTGTGCTTAGCTTGCATGAGTCCCTGAGTTCAAACCCCCAACACAAAATAAAACAGCAGAACCACCAGTAGCAGTAAAACATCCCCTTAAACCTTTCTCATTCCTTTAGTTATTTTGAATAACTTAATTATGACTATTGGCAGCAGCAGTTAGGTAGGTAATAAAATATAGTCGCTTAGTCTAAGAAAATACTATGACCTCAACCTGGTGTTATGAGCAAGGAAAGGGCACAGATCAGATGTCATCACGTAATTATTTACCGAGCAGCTCTCCCACCCCTAGTGGCAGGGATAGGCAAGGCTGTTACAGTTCACAGCCACACTGGGAAGCTTCAGCGGCCTCCTTATCGCCACATTCCTGGCTGCATGTGGGTGTGTGGGCAACAACTCCAGTGACTCCCTTTGAATCCAAAACAATTACTGTGACTTTGATTAGTTGGAGACTCATTTCCTTATACTGATATGTAAAAGACTGACTAGGGTATTTCCTTCTTTCTTCAATTGGCACTAAGCATTGCAAATAAGGCTAGTCGAGGTGTTAATCTGCAAGCTCTATAGCCAACCGACAGTCCTGTTTCCTCGAATAGTGTTCTCCACAAAACAGATATGTACAGGATTGAGCAGGCAAGACATTAGAACAAATAACTGAGAATGTCAACTGGGTAGAGCCTCAAGATGAGAGGCTATGACTCCCCAGAGCATAAGAGTTTGCATATCAGAAACTAAAGGGATATCCCCCCAAAACAATCCCACTGCTACCTTAATTGGACTATATAAATTGGTCTTTTACATATCTTTATCTCTGCAATTTACAGAGATGCCAATCTTGCACCTGGCCAGCCAGCTCAAGTTATTCACGTAATTCCCGCCCACTATCCTTACTATCACTCATCCCTGAGCCATCCCCCTTCTTCACAAGATAACAAATGCTGGGAGAGGCCTAGGATCAAGGCCTTTGTCTGCCTGTCTTCATGAGGATTGGACTTAGGATCCCTTGGCTGACCTTAATTTGGAGTATGTCTTGGTGTCTTTACTCTGGCTGTGGATTGCATTGGTGGTGGTAGATTGGAATTAACTTGATGGGATTCCAATAGTGTCTCAATAAGATTATAAATATAACTTTTTGGATCGTGAGGAAGACTAGAGAGAGGACTACAATACTTAAATGACTGAACTCATTATTTGGGTTTACAATATGGGTGAACACTCTGCAGACATTTGTTTCCCAGATCTTGATTTCCTCTACTGGAAAGTTGGATACATTATAAAATGAAATGCTGTGGTGGAGCATGGTGGCTGTATAATACCAACAATGCAGAGGAAATTCCCAATCTTACCTCTATTACTAGTTTCATTTTCTCCTACATACAGTAAGTTTGAATTTTAGCAATTTTCGTAAGGTTGGTAGAGTGGTTTGGGAGTTGGGAATTGGGCTTGGGCAGACAATGGGGCATGAGAAAAACAGTAATGTTTGGGAAAATCCACTTTAAAAAAATCCAAGCAGGAATACTTGTCCCGATACTGTTTTATTTTCCTAGTAGAGTCACCCACCTACCACCTTAACGGCCCGTAGGATATGTGAATAATGCATGTGAAAATACCCTGAGGATATTATTAATAATCATGATTGGAGTTGAAGTATAGGGTTTAAAAGCATATCAAATCTAGATACAGGACAAGCCAGTCTAATTTAACAAATACTTGTTAGTGAAAACTGCATTAGAGTGTTGGAATCTGGGACAATAGAATCAAATGTTTGCAAAGGTCTATCATAGAATGTATAAAATGGGCCATCTGCAGTTCAGTTCAGGTATTGAATATACAAACATATCCTAATCTAAGAGTAGGTGACTGAATCTCCTAAGTCAGTTTCCTGATTGTCCCATTTCCTTTGGTTCTTTCACAAGAATGTTGATCTAAGGTCACCAGTTCCTCTTTCCTAAAACTGCCCCAAGTCGAATTGGGTGGAGAGGGGAGAGAAGGAAGAAACAGAGGATGAAAAAGGAATTAAGATGTGTTATGCGCATGTACCAACTTCCCATAAGAAATGTAAACACTGTGTACTCCAAACATGTACTAACAAACTAAAAGCTAATGGCAGGGGTTAAAACAGTGATAATTTGTTGATAACAGCTTTACAATGTGGTTGTAACTTCTCACAGACAGAATTGTGTTCAGTTCTCTCATTCAGTTCTCCTCTTTCTGATACTTCATGGAGCCACCATTAACAGATTATTATTCAGGAGTTATAACTTTTAGCTCATGGCTTCATATCACTCATCAAAATGTCAGTTGGTATAAAAAGTGCACCTCTACCTTCCTATAGGATATGCAGTGTATTTGTAGATTAAACATAGTTTGTCTTGAACTGAGTATGGAAGTCACCTTATGTAGGATCATTCTTACAACATAGAGCACTGGGCATTCTCCACAGCCCACAGTGATGATAACTTATTAGCCTGGATGCTGGGAGAGGTCCCCCATGGTTCACTTGGTGTGAGAATGTTGCTGAGCTCAAACTCACCCTTTAGAAGAAAACTTGGGGTTAAGGCCTCTGCCTTGAGAGTAACTGTGCTGAAGTATGACTGGCTACTCTAAACCTAGGCACTAAAGATCACAGAGTATATTTGAATTGTACTTTTGTTATGAGACGATTCATCTTTGTCCCTCTCTTCAACAATTTCTTTCGTACTTTCTTTTAAAATTGTGTATCATTGTGAATTTTTAAGTTACCCTATATTCTTTTTAGGACAAAACAAAGTAAAAAATGCATATAAGAAAATAAAAATCTAACTACAACTAAAAACAAAATAAAAAAATAAAAGCATATCAATTTTGGTGAGCACATTGTGCTGGTAACTAGAGAAAGTTAACTACTCTATGTCTTCCTTTTGTACTTGTTACATTCTAGTTCCCAATCTTTTGTGCTCATATTCCGATTTGATATGCTCATATTCCTATTTACTAGTCTTCTGGATTCTGCTCTCTTTTAGTTCTTTGATTTTCTTTTACCTCTTGTTTCCTAAAGCACAATATCTTGCAAAGTTGGGTGTATCCTGAGGAGCTTCCTGGATTAGTCTTTCCAGAATTGGTAGAACCAGTCTCTTGTCTCCCCAGATTGAGTCACTTAGGCCTAGGTAAACACCAAATCAATAATCTCTAAGGGTGGAGCCAGCCATAGGTCTTCTTTCTCCCTTGCAAATCAGGAAAACAAAAGACATTAAATCATCTCCCTAAGAAGATGCACAAATGGTCACACCAAGCAAAAACAGTCAATGGACTGCCTAATAGGGCACACATATGATCATACCAAGCAAAATAGCCTACCCTCCAGGTTGAAGCTCAACTTAGGGTCCAACAGCTTGTGAGAGGTTGCTGGATTATAACTTCCCTTGGTGAGTAGCTTAAGTCAGTTGTTCTCCAAGTGTGTTCTAGGGACCTCTGGTGATTCTTAAAATTTTAGGGGGGATCCATAAGGCCAAAACTATTATTGTAAAAATACTCAAACATTCTTTGCCCTTTTCTGTGTTGACTTAAGCTGGTAAAAAGCAATGGAGGGTAAGTTGCTGGGTACCTTTGCATGCATTAAGTCAATTGCCCTGAACTATATTATCTGTCACAGAATTCTTCACTGCTATATAGTTATAGTTACAAACAGCAAATGGTATTTCTTAATAATGTGCTTGCTGCATTAGTAAAACTAGCTAATTTTATTAAATCTAGGCTACTCAACAAAAGCCCTCTCAATATCCATTTAATTAAATGGAAAATACATGCAAGGCTGGGCTTCCTTGAGGAGATGACAGAAAATGCCTGTATTACCTTGCAAGTTGATCTTACCACTTTTTTTTTCAGAGTAAAATTTTTACTTGAAAAAAACAATGGACAAATGGCAGACATTCTTCTAAAAAGTGAAAAAAGCAAATCTAGCACTTGAAGGAAAACTAAAAGTACTTGTTGCTAATGATCCAAAACTCTAAATCCCAATTTTAAGACTATTATTCAATATCTTCTCTGAACTGGGAACTTTCAGTTTCATTGAGTCTTATTTCTGCTTTTTTCTCTGTCTTCTTTCATGTCTAAATAAGGCCAGATTGGTTTTTCATGTACTTCGATAAAAGTAATATATTGCATCACATTGAATGCAGAAATCAACTTAAACCTCTAGCTGCCTTTTATTAGGCCTCATATTAAAGATATGTGAAAAAATGTAAAGCAATGTCATTTACAAAATTTTGCTTTGTTTTAGGAAAATATAATCTCCATAAACATTTTATTTCACCTGGCCATTGGTGATGTGCAACTAATTTTTTCTAATTTTTAAGTGAGTGAATAAATTTAAACATTTTTCCGTTTTAGTATTGTAAATATTCATAAACATACTTGGGAGCCCTTAATTGTTTTTAAGAGTATAAAGGAATCCTGATAACCTAATGCTTTTAGAACCTCCAGTTTAGACTGATTCTGGGGGTTCAAACTCACGAGACGCTCCATGCTTTTACAGTAACATGGACCTCTTTTACTTTAAGAAGGAAATGATTAACTTGAAAAGAACCTAGAAAATTCAAGCAAGACTTTCCAAACAGGATGGAAAAGTGTTACTGCTTTCCCTGGCCAAAAGAAAAGACGGGCAAGGAGGGCACTCAATTAATTGTTCAGGGGATTTCTTCCTGAATGATTTACATTCCTATCAAATCACTGTGGGACACACAGGTCTCGGCTAGCACTATGCAAAGATTCTATACTCTCACCTGATTCACATCTGTTAGCTGCTGCCACTGAGGTCCCTTCTGTGAGCCCCCCTCCCTCTTTTTTTCCATTGTGTACTGTACCTCTTAACATGGCACTCACCTGCAAGTCTGTCTGAGAACTTCAGGGTTAGGGTTAGGGTTGCATGATATTTCATGCATCTTCTTGGCTCCTTCTCAGCTCTTAACATAATGCGAGGCACCAGCACATCTCTACATAAGTTGTCAACTTACTGGCCAACACAAAGAAAGAACAAAAACACTTCACTTACATAGTGTTTCTCTGTATCCTGCCATTTCCTTCCGGAATGCCTACACAGACGTAAGCTTCAGAACCGAAGGCTCTCCTCTTATCTGAGCTCTGCTATTTCCCAGCTTTGTCCCTTGGGGGGATATTACTCAACTCCTTTGAGCCCAGTTTTGCACCCATTGAGTTGCTAGACTTTATTTAACGTAAAAGGCATTCAACAGAGTCTGGGTTCTGTACTGTTCAGTTTTTTTTGCTGGGACAAAAAGTTATTCATTACTGAAGCATTACAGTCTCCATCTGTTTCTTTAGTCTTTAAGTTAAATATATTTAACCCAATTATTTTCTTTATATTTTCTTAAAATTCTTTTTGTTTATTTTCCTTGAGGTCACCCATAAATTTAAAAGAGAAAAGGTTTAATTTGGCTCACAATTTCAGAGTTTCAGCCCATGATTGATTGGCCCCAAAGCAAAAACATCAGGGCAGAAGGACATGGTAGAGAAAAGCGAATCACTTCATGACAGTTGGAAAGCAGAGAGGATAAGAATCAGAGAACACATCCTTTAAACTTACACTTACAGTGACCTACAGTCCTCTATTTAAACGCCACCTCACAACCCTGTTTAGCTATGAATTCACCAGTGGGTTGATCCATTGATGAGGTTAGTGCCTTCAGGACTGAGTCACTTTTCCAAAGTTCATCAGCTCTGAACAAACGAGACTTTTGGAGGGATGTTTAGCACCTTCCTTATCTGATTTTCCCTTTTTTCTGTAGGATGCTTTAAGATAATTATCAAGAATGTGTCTATCACAAAACAGAACTCAAAGCATTCTTTAGTTACTGCGTAGTTACCTGTGTTTAATCCAGTCTCTGTTGTGTTTATTGTACTTAGGATTAACTGTAAACCCTATTCAACCAAATGTGTGTTTACACGTGTTGTAAAATTATTCATTGCTGAAGCATGACAGTCTCCCATCTATTTCTTTAGTAATTAAGTTAAATATATTTAACCCAATTATTTTCTTAAAATTCTTTTTGTTTATTTTTTTTTGAGTTGAGAACCATCTATTCTCTTCCTTTCCCGTTTGGTCCTTTGTTCCTGTAGCCTTATTTTCTTCCATTCTTTTCTCTTTTTTCTTTATAGTCATGGTGACTTTAGGATAGGTGGTTTCTCTAGCAAAGGTAAGTGGTCTGTTTAGGTCAAGAAATGCAAATTGCTTAGAATTGTCCTTCGGTCCATAATGTTCTTTTTTTTTTTGGAGGCGCAAACACAATTTATTTTAATGTAAAGGTAATTATCGTATGAAACAAGGGACTTAAATACTTATATCAAATATGTCCCAAACAGTATAAGAAAATGATGCTCTCAAACTTACAAAATTAATCTAATTTACAGAATCGTCAAACAGGATTCAACAGAAACTTGAAAATATATTATATCTCACGAGGCCAAACTACCACTGAGTTCAAATAACTGATATTTTGGTAAAGTGCCCACAGTGAGAGTAATTTTAAAGGTAGCCCCTGTGTCCTGCAGAAAAACGGTGACAGTGAAAACTTGTTACATTCTCTGCAATAAAAATACTGATGGCACTCACACATTCAGGGGACAACACCCTGGACACACGGCTTATTTCACATTGGTGAACAAATCCAAAATTTTTATAACAGTTCTGACTTTGGGCCAGAAGATAAAATGTCCCAAATATACATACACAGACCCTAATTTCTAGCTCCTTAAATTCTCTAGTTCTGAAAGATGGCTTTTTGACTTGTTTTTAAATGGAATAAGTATGCAATACACTTGTATTTGTACTTTTGAGTTAAATAACTATATACATCAAGTGAGCCCGGGATGATACTAATCTATTCAAGATTATGTACATTATCTTTGGGTATTCATGAGAATCAGTTTAACTGTCTCTTCCATTAGAAGAACTTAATTTTCTAAGTTACCCAGGAAATGCATTCAACCATTTATAAAAACAAAAATTCTAACATGCACTGTACAAAACCATGATCTTATTTACCTGCATATTCTTGCACAAGATAGGTATACATTAAAAAATATTGTTCAAAAACATAAATATATATATATTATTTCTTTCCTTTGCCATTTATAAATATAAATATTTTACTGAAGATGCATTATTCAACAAATGCAAAAATGTTTTATATAAAGTTAGTTCTCTGCTATTTAGCAATAGAAAATATAAAGTGAGTACAACGTAAGTAGCCACTGAAGAACTAAATTCAAGAGATTCAAAAATGAAAACAGCAGTGAATGGTTTCTTGTATAAAGGTCCATTAAGGGGCTGGGGATTTAGCTCAGCAGCATAAGCGCCTGCCTTGCAAGTGTGTGGTCGTGAGTTTGATCCCTGGTACTGATAAAAATGAAAAAGACCAAAAAAAAAAAGAGTCCATTAAAAAGTCAAATCAATTTTGTAACACATTACAGAAAAATACAAGCCAAGAAATGCACTATGAATGCAAAACAGAGCACGGCTTGGTGACAGCCACATTCTTCAGTCTTGTTTGAACTTGAGGCCAAACTTACTGCTCACTTTTTGGTTCGTCTTGCTTTCCATTAAGCTTCTGATCAACTTGTTTGATACATTCTGGTATACCAACATACTCCACTGGAACAAGTTCCACTCGTTCTGCCAAGTTAAAGACGTATCTAATTTTTTGGCTGAATTTTGAACTAATAAATGGTCCAAGAGGGATGTACAATGATTAGAGAGTTCAGGTTTTTCCATAACCTTTTATTGATTTGTTAATAGCATTTCCTGAGCCATCCCAGACTGGGCATTTTTCCTTGAGTTGTTGCACCATTCAAATAAACTATCATGGAGTTTTCTGCCACTAACAGCTCCAAAGTGCCAAAAACGTACTTAAAGAGATTGTCCATCAGGTATCTATAGTTAGGCTGACCACTCTTAGGCATAAAACAGACAGCGAGCACAACAATGTGAAAGGGTTGCTGGCCCAGGCCAGATACTGTAGCTGGTAAAGCCAGGGAGCTCCTATCTCCCCCCACTCTTAGGAATTACCTCTGGCGCCAAACTAAGACAAATGGGCTACCTGTGCATCCCTAATGCCCCCTTAGGTTCCACCCCAGGCCAAGGCTACTTATGTGCCTCACTCCACATGTTCCACGGAGAGATCGCCAGCCCCGGGGTGGAGATGCCACGCCCCAGGGGGTTGGGGGTGTCTCTCCCCGAATTCCCAAAATAAAGGTTATTTATATTTTATACTTCTTATCTTTTCAGCCGCCGCCGGTCCTCCTCCTCTTCTTTTTCCCCTCTACAGTTCTATCAGATGGTGCCGTGACCGGGAACAGCAGGTGAGAGACTCCTGGGGCTGGTTCCCAGTTTTGAGTCTCCTGCTGTTCAAGACCCACCTGACTACATCCTGTAATTCCTCACTTCTACACTCAGAAATTGTAAGCTTGACTTCTGCTTCTCAAACAACACCCACCAATTTACCACAGGTGAGCAACTCCCCGGAGACAGCCACTGAGCCAGGCTCATGTGGATTTTCTCCCCTCTTTGCGAGGGTTCGTGACCCTTTCACGTCTTTTAGACAGTCCAAACCTAGGCCCTCACGTTTTTCCCAGAGCTTTTGGGGCTTTCTGGGCAAGCTGATGTCCACTCTGGACAGCCCACACTGAGAGACCCTCACTTTAAAGCTTTTTATATAGCCAATCCGTTGGTCTGGGGTACAGTGTGATGACTAAATCCTGACAGACCACAGTCCGTTGCCTCATCTGATTGTAGCCCCATGGGCTAGACCCCACACCAGATTTTATCTTGGGGACTCCTTCTTGTCCCCCCGCCGAAACCATAATTATTTATGGCTTATCACACTGCAGACAAGCTTGCAAAACTCTCTTATCTTTTTTTGGGGAATGTGCCCCTTTCCTGCCAGCTTCCCTGTCCCTTTGTCTCCTCCATGATCCCTCCCTCTGCCTGCACTTAAAGAGATAACAGCCTCTTCCCTTGCAGCCTTTCAGAGTTTTTCTCAGTGCCTCCTTTTCTCCCGCTGACCCTCCCCCCAACCGTGCTGCCAGCGTCTTTGTTTCCGTGCGTGCCAACCCATGCCCTGCCGCCAAGATTAAAATGAGACCAGACGATTAAGAGATTCACATAAAACTGCTTTAGATTTTAAACAGCTTTTTTTTTCTTTTCGCTCTCACATCGCGCTCCAATTCTGTGGGCTCCACAGTTTCAGCTCCACATCCACCCGTTCCACGCCGTGCCAGCTCATTCGTGCCGGTGCTGGCCCATTCTGCCGCTGAGAGATACGCGCGAGACTGTCCACACCATGAGTTCAGCTTTTGTCTCCGTGTCCTGGGCCACGCGTCCCTTGCGAATGCGCGCGGCTCCTACAGGTTGCCGTTCACCGGCTGCCGGTCGTGTGCCTCTGGGAGCAGAGCCCACTAGGCAACAGGCTATGTGCCTCCCAGCCCCACCACTGCCACAGCTCCTGCCCCTGCCCCCGCAGCCCTTCACGCCAGGCATGCCCCGCCGCCGCCACCCCTCTGCGGTGCCGGGCATGTGCTGCTACCACCGCCCCTCCGCGCTACCAGTGCCCTCAGTGGCGCCGGCCGCGACCCCCTCCTCTCGCCACCACTGCAGGCCTCCAAGCCCCACCCCCCCCATGCACAGTTGCAGCTGAAGTACATTATTTCCCTGCGCCGTCTTAGGGCCGTCATAGCGGCTTCTAGGTGGGATCTCTGCCCGCCTCTGCATGCTATGTCCCAGCGTTCGCCCCACCCACTCTGCATGTTCCATGTCAGCCTGCCCCTGTGCGCTGTGTGTTGGCACTCACCCCGCCCCAAGCACAACTCTGCTCTCTCCCTACAGGCGCGATCTGTCTATCTCAGAGTTTCAAACTGCCTTAAACGCTGCACATTTCCAAAGTTTCGCGGCTCCGCTGAAACATTTTTTTTTTTTTTTTACAATTCAGTTCCACTCAAGAG